ATTCTACCACTACTGGTACGTTTTTTTTTTTTTTTTTTTTGGAGATCTTTTGCTTTTTTATTTTTAATTACCAAGAATAATAATCATTGTCCATCTTGTAATCTTTCTTCCTTTTGCTTTGATGTTTCTTGATGAATATCACTTTAGTTTTATGAAAGGGCCAGGTTTTTATCTATGGGAATAAATCTAAGGCTCACGGCCCATGACTGACTCTGCTTGACAAACAGTGTAACTGATTGTCATGAGCACCAGCGTGACTCTCAAACTAGTGAGATTACCAATCATAACTGCCAAGACCAGAGCCAAACTTTGGAACGTGCCTAACCTAGGTGACTATATGGCTTCTTCCCGTCTCCTCGACTTTGAAACATCCGACATAGTGGTCTCTTAGCCGGTCTTTTGAATAGTTGCCAATGTTGACCCCTTGATTTTTTTAGAACAACATCTCCGCTCACTTGCTGACCCTATCGTATTTAATTTCCGGAAAAGCATCAAATCCGAGACATAAAGTTGGTTATTATCCGATGAGTATATCAACTTTCTCTCAGGTTCAATCTACTCTGCTGAGGCAAACGGGCTAGATGATTCATGATCTCGCTTGATTTTTTGGTATTTCCCTACAGCTTGACGACAAATGAGGCGATACTGATACGTCCGTGTCGAATCGAAAAAGAAAATAAAGAAAATGTTATACGTGATCCATCGAGGTTGGAAGAAAAAGAGAACCGTGCGAACAACGGGTACACAACCAATAGCTTCTAAGAGACTGCACATAGATAGCCACATACATCAGCCACTTGTGGCGTGTCACGAACCAACAGTTTTCAACTACGCGATCCACTTGATACTTTAGCATCATCGTCTTGTTTTTTTCTGGTGCCTAATCAACATTGTCGATGGAGCCACCTGCTGAGAGTGTCAAGGTAATTGACAAATCTCCGAATGGGATCAATTCAACAGACCAATGGTGCAAGCCCGAGTATGACACCCCTCTATCCGCCATTGTGCGGCGCAATGATGTAAACGCCCTCCAAGAGTATCTTTCCGAGTACCCATACAAGCTCAAGGGCCCGGGGGCAACGTACGACTTTTCGGGATTTTGGCCTGATGCTTTTGACTATGCAGCTACCTGGGGAGCTACTTCAGTGCTCGAGTTCCTTCTGGACTACGAGCGACAGCATCCTGAGAAGAACTTCCGCTTCCGCCCAGGTGATTATGGTCTGCTCAATATCAGCTGCCTTCACGGGCATCTAGATACAGTGCGCTTTCTGTTGGACCAGTCTCAGGACATTGCTGCCGACCTCAGATTCCGTGACGCTGATGGCTGGACGCCCTTGTTAGCTGCTGCAAAAGCATTAGGTAAACAAGGGGTATTCACAAACCATTGCGAGGAGATCATGACACTGCTCCTCAACCGAGGTGCACCGGCCAACGACGTGCGCCAGCGTCGGTTCGTGCTACACGACGGCGAATATCTTGACGTCGATCGTCGGAGACGCTGGTCGGAGGATTATGCGACCGAAGAGGAGATGGCAGAGGACCCGATGCTCAATCGTACCCTGCCTGGCAAGGTGTCAACTCACATTGTCGACACCGTGCTTAGTTTAGCTGTGAAGAGGGCGCGCCCGGCCATGATACGGCGCCTAATTGACGGGGGAGCTGACGTCCACGCGCAGTTGTTCATTCCACTAGAAGGGGATGTCGGATTGACTCCACTGCATATTGCGGCAGGCTATTACAATGTCCAAGCCATCGAGGTCCTGTACGAAAAGTGCGGCACTGACTTTGACGATATGGTCAGGAAACACGATTCCTTTGGCAGGACACCGTTACATGAGGCGGCTGATGGACAGTGGACCCTGCTTCCCAAGGAGCAGGTCTTTGCCCAGGGCATCGCTACCTTTTCATTCCTACTTCCTCACTGTTCAGCTGATCTTGTCAATGCACGAGATGGAAACGACTATACGGCATTGCAGTATATAATGCGGGTTTTTGAGGGTGCATCGTGCGTCACGGCAGATCAACGCACACTACATATCCATACAGCCAGACAGCTTCTCAAGCATGGTGCCGATCCTAACGTCAAGATGGCGGACGGTAGGAGCATTCTCCATGTACTGGCAGACTTGATTCCGATAGATGGGAAAGTTCACGAAGAACTGTAGCTCCTCTTCGAAGATGCATTAGACAAAAACAATCAGAGGCAGCAGAAGTCACGGATTGACAAAAAAAGACTTGAAGGGAAGAGAAACGAAGAAAAGATAAAATACCAGAAGAGATGAAAACGGAAAAACGCAACATAAGAAAACCATACTTTATAGCCATCAGACAATAACCTAAAGCAATAGCACTCAGTTCAGTCACTTTTCACGACTACATCATTTGGGCTTTGAGCAAAATAGCCTTGTCAACCACGAACTTTTGTCTTTATTTCGATCCTTTAGCATACGACCAGCGCGAAATGAATACGAACCACGATTTTCATCGCTCCCGAAGGGGGACTCCTGGCAGCAGACCTTCTACGAGAGCAACTACGCGAGGGTGAAGGCCATCAAGAAGACGTACGACCCAAATGACCTCTTTGATCCTCCGACAGTAGGAAGCGAGGCATGGGCAGAAGATGATGCCCGAAGACTCTGCCGAGCCTAATGAGAGAAGTAGGATTTGTTATGGGCGGATCACTCTTGGGAGGCGGATTGCATACAATGTAGTGGCAGGTGGGCTGATGAGTACGTGTAAAGGACAACCAAGATGTACAATACTGGGCAGCTAGCAGTTTCAGGTGACTCTTTCATCGGCCATTTTTCTTACGATGGTGATTTGGTCAGACATGATGAAACCTTGTAGGTACCTACCTAGTACCTAGGGATCTTGGTGGGATTTCAGATCGTTTACCCCTAACGGTAGATACCTAGGTTCAAGGTAAAGTCGTTGTATTTTCATTTGTTCAACGAGCCCTCAACATTATGTTCATGGGTGCCGGTATTGCTATCAACCACTCAGTTGTTGAGAAGTCATTCGGGGCATTAGGGCGCCGCTTAGCACTGGCTGAATCCGCCAAGGGCCATGTCCCTGGTACGTACCCGAATCCTTCGGGCTTATGGATTGCTGATCAGCCTCGGCCTCAGCATTTGAATTATAATCATGTCTCTGATCAAGTACAGTACTTCAAAAGTAAATGAAAATTCGCTGCAAGATATATTGGCCTCGATCCCTTGGCCATGAGTCGTTTTCCCTTTCTGTCAAATACTCTCCTCTAGCTGCTTCATACAAACAACAAAAAAGTTATTTTTGTGCATTTAGTCGCCAGACCCGTTCTGTCGCTCAAATCCTCAAAACCCATTCACCATGTCTTCTCCCAAGCTCCTCATTACTGGCACTACTGGCTTTATCGGCTTCAAGGTTCTTCTTGGTGCCCTCAAAGCTGGTTACCATGTTCGAGCCACTCTTCGCTCCCTTGGACAAAAAGACACAATAGCCAAGCATCCCCAAGTCACTGCATTGGGCTTGCCGGCAGATCGGTTGGAGTTTGTTGAAGTGCAGGATATTTGCAGCGACAAGGCATACCAACAAGCCATCAAAGGCATTGAATATGTCATCCATCTGGCTTCACCTTTGCCATCGCCTTTCCTTGACCCACAAACAGGCATATATGAACCCAACATCAAGAGCGCAACAAGTATCTTGAATAATGCCCTTGAAGAGCCTTCCATCAAGAAGCTAGTGATTGCATCGTCCGTCTTTGCAAACAGTCCTTTCCCTCCCGATGGTAAAAAGATCACTGCTGACTCTCGAATTCCTGATTTCCCCGGACCTTTCGATGCTATGCTGCCTGCTTATAGCATGGGAAAGGCTGGTGCTCTCAACGCTACTGACAGATTTGTCAAGGAGAAGAACCCACGTGAGTAGCCAACTTCGCACCGGCGGTGGAAAAGAAAAGAAAAGAGTTGAGATAAGTTAACATATATCAACTTGGCAGACTTCAAAGTTGTCAACGTATTCCCAGGATTTGTCTTTGGCACGGACGAGAGGGCTCTGAAGTCAAGCGATATATTTGCAGGAACCAATAGAATCCTTCTTGCAGCCGTAACCGGTCAGAATGCCGAGATGGCAATGCCTGCGGGCGCCACGCACGTCTACGATGCTGCCACGCTTTTCCTGACGGGACTCCAGGACGACGCGCCGACCAACATTGGTGCGTCTGTACCTCAGACGTTTGACGATGCTTGGCCCATTGTCCAGAAGCATTTCCCCGAGGCCGTTAGCAATGGTCTACTTACTCGAGGAAGTCAACCTACCGCCCCTGTTCATTGGGACTCGACACAAACCGAGATAGATATCAAGGGCTTTAAGTTCAGAACCTATGAGGACATGGTCGTCGACACAGTTGCCCAGTATCTCGACCTGTTGGCAAAAGAGAAGCAGTAACAGCTGAGCTTGGTCCATGGAAATGATGTTTCTTTATTGCGAGAAATAGGCAATGCGAGAGCGGGGCAGAGAAAATGCAGAGTACTTGGTCGCTTTCGCTGCAGCGATGATATTTTGCATTGGAGAAGCAGGAAAGTGGACGTCGAGAAAGATAATCAAGTAAATTGTCATCGCTGTGATTGTTTGACTCGAATATTGTAGGACATGATACAAAAATGTGATTACTTCGGGGAGACATCCATAGATACATCGCCCTTCCCCGAGCTTCGCTCCAACATGTCGTAGTTCTCCAGAACTCAATGACAACAATCATGACAATCGTGATCCAGAGGGAATGAGTAAGTGTACCCGCCAGGTGCCGCAGAATCCTCGATGTATCTTACGGCGGCATTCGGAAAACGGATGGAACCGTATATACTGTGTAGTACCTATGGAAAGGACCCGCTCGCTTCACTCCGTTAGATGCGTGTCTAGTACTAGTTTTTGTGGATCTGGACAATACCTGTCAGACAGTATCGCAGAGTCTAGATTTGATGACGCTATGCACAAGGGCGGCGCATTGCTCATAACGACTAATAGTGTCATGCACGTCCATTGCAATGCACCAACAGTGTCTTTGCATATCCTCCCTTGCTTCTCTCTCGGTACAACTCGTTGAGTTGTGACAAATCAATCCGGCAAGCTTATCAACCAGAACCAGGCTGTCCCATTTGTTTCCTGCGAGTTGACTAATGTTGAACCGCCGTTGGCTACTATCGAACATGTTCGATAAATAACGGTGTAGATTGATTTTTCCACACAAACAGCTTCTACAAAGAGTATGCGTGATTGCCTAAAACCATATATCGAGTGACAGATAGAGACTTCTAATAAGCGGTATTCTTATAAGGCCTAGCGACTAATGTCATAACCAAACTATGCCTTCTCTTTACCATATAGCTCGAGGTACTGGTTGGCAACATCAACCACTATGTCTCCGTAGGTCTTGTAATCAGACCCTAAATTAATCTCGTTCTGGTAATGGTCCCAGCTTGAAGGCACAGTTGGCTGATCGCCCTGGGTAAATAGGCCATCGGCCACGGCCTTTGGGAAGTGCTTTTTGACAATATCCCAGGCATCGTTGAATTTATGCGTAGTTGTTACGCCAATATCTTTAGTAATGTCTTCCTTCAACGCCATCACATGAACTTTGGCGACATCCGACACATGGGCTATACCCGAAGCAAGCGGCCAACTTGCGGACTGGCCTGTGATGACACCCAACAGGATCGCGTTGGTTCCTACGCCGAGGCTCTCCAAGCTGGTAGCTCTATCATCCCTTCCCAGGACGAGTCCAGGGAAGATGTTCACCACGGAAAAGGACGGTCGATTCTCCTCGACAAACTTGTCTGTCAGATTCAGACCCGCGACCTTGCCCGCCATATATGCAGGAAGCATGGAATCAAAAGGGCCCGACAGGTTGGGCGCGCGCGATTCAGCGGTGACCTGCGTGGTAGGGTCTGGTGGGAAGGGAGTGTTGGCAAAGGACGAAGACGTGATGACGACTTTCCTTACTGTAGGCGCGTTGAGAGCTGACTGGAGAATAGCTTTTACGCTTTTGATAGTCGGCTCATAGATCTCAGCCTGGGGGTCCAGGAAAGGCGATGGGAGAGGCGAAGCCAGGTGAATAACGTGGGTAATGCCTTTGAGAGCAACATCATAAGCACCTTCGCGGCAGATATCAGTTATCTCAATGAAAGAGAGCTTATCCTGCTGGCACGCAGCCGATATCTTGGGGTGCGACGAAAGGGTCTTGGATTTTTCAATAGAGCGTACGGCGGCTCGGACAGTATAACCTTCTTCAAGTGCGGTGATGAGGACTTTGAAGCCAATGAAACCAGTCACACCAGTGACGAGAAGAGTTGGAGACGACATGATAATTTGGATAGTGGAAGTGTTATGGTGCGCATCTTGGTGAGGGAGTGGCACATGCCCGGCTTATAAGACATATAATACAAAAGTAAAGGATTGAATCCTGGACAAGCATTGAAGGTGAAATGGTCCAGTTATGTAAATAATTCCAGTACTTCAATGTTGATCATCTCCATAGATGCATACTAACCTAGGTACCTCTACCTAGGCATGCAGGCTGCATGTTAGATTAGAACCTAGACCAGAACGGTGCATGCCGGCGATACCCACAGAGGGGTCGTTTCTGTTGGTGGGGGCGGGGGCCTTGGGGGCCGGTGCCTTTCTAATAACAATTGAGTTTAACCCAAGTATTCTGTTCGTTTCTTGTCTGGATAGTATATCTGCATTTTAGCTTTTCAAGATCGGCCTGGTGAGAAGGCTCTCTATCGAAACGGAGAGTATAGCCGTGACTTAGTCACCTCTCGTTTCTTGCCTCCACTGCGACTCATACTGAGCTGGCCCGTAACCGCTCCGCACAAGCTTGCCGTCGCCCGACGCTTGCGTGATCCAAGATGGCCGAACTACAGGGCCGTAAGGTCTTCAAGGTGTTCAACCAAGACTTTATCGTCGAGGACACATACACTGTGACAAAGGAGCTTGGCCAGGGAGCGTACGGCATTGTTTGGTAAGTCCGCTTGATTGTTTTTGCGCATTCTTCGAAGCAACGCATTCTTCAAATCACCACGCGCCCGCAATATTGTCTGAACCCAAGCTGACTCCCCGCTTTGTCGCAACAGCGCCGCTGTTCATAATGCGACCAGCGAAGGTGTCGCTATCAAGAAGATCACCAATATCTTCAGCAAAAAGATTTTGGCCAAGCGCGCATTGCGCGAGATCAAGCTGTTGGAGCATTTCCGGGGCCATCGAAACGTAAGGCCTTCCTTGATTGCTCCGAGTCCCGCGTGTCGGCGTCAGCGGGGTATTGCGAGAGTAAGCCATATTGACAGTTATCCTGCGAACGATTTAGATCACTTGCCTGTATGACATGGACATTCCCCGACCGAGCCAATTCAACGAGGCCTATCTCTACGAAGGTAAACTTCTGCATCGTCCTACATCCGTGACTAGCTAACACACTGCCTCGAAACAGAGTTGATGGAGACCGACCTGGCAGCCATTATTCGATCCGGTCAGCCCCTCACCGATGCGCATTTCCAGTCTTTCATCTACCAGATCCTGTGCGGGTTGAAGTATATCCATTCGGCCAACGTGCTTCATCGAGATTTGAAGCCCGGCAATTTGCTCGTTAACGCAGACTGCGAGCTCAAAATAGCCGATTTTGGCCTGGCGCGAGGTTTCTCGATCGACCCGGAAGAAAATGCCGGGTACATGACCGAGTACGTCGCGACAAGATGGTATCGTGCGCCGGAGATCATGCTCAGCTTCCAGAACTACACCAAAGCTAGTAAGTCACCTTTCGCGGTGCATTCATTGATGCACCCATCTGCGCGATATGAGTTCTTCCTCTTTCTTGTTGGCTAATGGGTAAAACACAGTTGACGTTTGGTCTGTCGGATGCATCCTCGCAGAGCTTCTTGGGGGTCGACCGTTCTTTAAGGGTAGGGATTACGTCGACCAGCTCAACCAGATTCTACACATCCTTGGAACTCCTAACGAAGAAACTCTCAGCCGCATCGGCTCTCCCCGAGCCCAGGAATACGTGCGAAACCTGCCTTATATGCCTAGAAAGCCCTTCCCTTCCCTATTCCCCAATGCCAACGCCAGCGCCAACGACCTGCTAGACGCTATGCTCGCCTTCGACCCGTCGAGCCGCATTACGGTCGAGGCTGCGCTTGAGCACCCCTACCTCCAAATCTGGCACGATGCGTCGGATGAACCCGACTGCCCGAGAACGTTTGACTTTGCATTCGAAGTTGTCGACGAGGTTGCCGATATGCGCCAAATGATCCTCGATGAGGTCTCGCGCTTCCGCCAGCTTGTCAGAACCGTCCCGGACGCAAACAACCAAGACAACTTGGCCCGGCAGGATCAACCTGGCCAGGTGCCGATGCCCCCAAGCGGGATACCGGACCAGTGGAAGGCTGAGGATCCGCGCCCGCAAGAGTATCCCCACAGCACGGGTGCCTTGGAGGCCGAGCTCGGCGGCAGATGAGTGGTTTGAGAGCCCTCCCCGGACTGCCGAGCGATGCTCCAACCCTGCCAAGCCGTCACAGCGTTGTGCCAGCCCGGGCATGAATAAGGATGACCCAACACTAGATTTTACTGCTATCAATCATTACTGGTATACCTATCGGTATCACCATATTTCGGCAAAGGAAGGCACTAGAGACAAATGCTTTGCAGGGGAGGGAGAGAGAGAGAGTCATGCTACCGGGAGTTCAGATTTGGATTGGCTGACCGGATCCCCGCCTAGTTTTATAACACTCCCGGCGAGTGTCTCACAACAATATCAGAGGTTCATTCCTCGGACATTTGACGCCGGTTAGGCGGGAAAGTCAAACCCGGTCGTAGATGGGTCGTCCTTTTTCTTGGAATATTCTTCTCTGCTGAGAAGTTCTTCATTTTGTGGTCAACTAAGCAGCGGCGGAGAGGTCAGGGTTGGCAACCTCAATTGTCTGTCTGCCTTCTGACGGTTTCGTTTGTCAGCTTCCCACTCCCCCCTTTTTTTACACCATAGCGCCACTCAAACTCGGATCATGTATTGGTTTGTAATGATTGAGTTTGATGAATCAGATTAGACAAGGGCCGAGGACGAACAGAACAGTAGTGGGATAGCGCTGCCATCCTGGTTCTGCTTAATCAACCCTTGGCCAAAGAAGAGAAAACAATATAACTCTCTTTATCGTTCCACCAAAAAGAAAAGCGATTTATGAAGGGGAAAGAAGGCAAAAATAATGACACTATGATTAAGCAAAAGGTCAGTCCCGAGACTATGATTCTACGCTACAAGTGTTAAGGAAAACGCTTACACCTATTATCTGAAGGTCATATACTAGTAGTTTGTTAGTCGTTGGCTCCCCTCACGTGGTGCCAACCACCCAGTAATCACCAGTCCTTCCAATTCACTCCGCCCCTGAGGTTAAGGGCTCTGTGCATCAACCTTTTTCGCACAACAACTCCGTTCTTACAGATAGCGTGGTTGTTTTCAATTTCTAGTCATCCATAAGTTTTGGCTTGTTACCCCTCAAGTCTCAAAGGCCGAAACGGATACCTGGTCCAGTGTCCTCGTGTCTATGACTAGTCCTCGCACATGGTTTGATGTCCATTCGAGGAATTGGGCTGGGACAGTAGGCATGTATACAATACAGTCCACCCTTTTTGAATGCCTAGGTGAAATGCAGCTTCGCTTAGCCCTTGCTTTAAGGAGTAATGTGTTGTGATTACCCGCATGAGCTGACAATATTTCATCTGACAAAAGTTCTAGACCTAGGGTGATGTTTAGGTTGAGGTTGAGGTGGGTCTACAAATACATATACCCATACCCTTGGTCTCAGATATGAACTCAGGCTTTGATGTTGGGCAAAGCTAGACCCTGAGGATAAGGGTTCTGTCATGGTCTCATTTCTGGTTGGGCGACGAGAAGACAAAAGTTTTTCAGTAGACACACACCATATGGCCAGTCCCGCAAGGCGCGTTCAACTAGTTACTCTTCTTGCCGATATACATGGAAAGCCAAAAATCCCTCTTCGAAATATCATTTATTACCTGCGAGCCATCCCTGAATTTGCCCGAGAGACGAATTTCCAAAAGGCAAATCTGCGTCACAAGGCAACCTACCTCTCCAGAAAGCTGATTTGATATATTTTTGGTGATGGTATCCAGATCCGATAATAATCAGATTGCGAGTCTTATATAGCTCCCAGTATAAGCCCGCAGAGGTTTAAGCAGGGCGAACATCAAACTCATGGATAAAGCAGCACATAGACAATAGCAGGCCGAGGAAAGTGTCGTTTGCAGTTCTTTTGTTCCAATCTCATTCCTAGACCATCCGCCCTTGGGACTCCTATACTCACGTGTGCTATAATACCATGTTCTCAGCCAGGTACTTCTGCCACGAAAGCGCAAATGTTGGCTTGATCTGCGTGGGAATCTCTACTGTTAGGCTTCAGCCACTTATGGCGCGTCATAGATACAATGTATGGCAGAGCCCAAGGGTAAGTGCTGACTTTATATCTGTGAGAGATGGACTAATTGCTTCAGCATGTGACGCACTGACGGACGGCAGCTGGCCGGCGTGCTGTAGCGCGGGACGCCCGTCCCCCACCGGCTTGTCCGGACCCGTAGATAACACCAGTCCGTAGCCGAGGACCACTTCAAGGCCCCGTCTTTCGATACTATGGCATAGTCCTGTTGATCCATCGGTGCCGTAACACAGTAGGAATCACGAAGACAACGACGGCTCCATCATCTCCAAGTCTCTGAGTTTTGCAAGTCGGACGGATCCGACTCCCGTTGCTCCGGCTCTGACGATTCAAATGAGTTTACGAATGTCGTTGTCTCGAATGTCTTTGTGGTGCAGCAAGACCGACCACAGTCACCTAGCCGAAGCATGTACAGTACTCTTACTGATATAACTCATTCATTCGACTTTCTTTACACAAGTGTACCTGTCGTTTTAACTTTTGGCGATACTGAGATCTGCCTTGGTAATCTTCGAGCTTCTTGTTGAACATCGGCGATACTATCATCTTGGTGCTCTTTCTCTCCCGTCCGAGATACATGTTTTCATGGAAGTCGTGTCTTCCGAGCTCCATTCTCTCAGAAAGAACCTCCTTTCGTTTTGATCACAAAACACAATCCTGGAATTAGAGAAGAGTTTCCCTTGGACCCTGTGATAGACCAAGTTGGCGTACATCCAAATGACCTTTCCAATTGCTCAGGAGAATCGTGTCAAAGTGGATCCGTGAAACCATGGATCCGATGCACCCTCAGTATCACATGGCCGTCAACCCGTACGTGTATGCGATATGAGGTAAGGGGCGAGCATGAATGGTTTGAGTTGATGCACGTCGCAATAAGCCTCACTGTGACAGTGCACCTGCTGATCCGATCGGTGGTGTTAGCTTGTAGCGGTTATTGGGGCCTTTTTCCAATGTTGTTATCGGGTGACTCCTTAGATAGGTCCCTGTGCAGGTACGTACCGTGAACCCCCCGCCGCCAGAGAAAAGCTCGGGCAAATGTTTTGGCGCAAGGCGGCCATAAATCGGAACCGGCGCCTACCGACCTACCAGAGATGGGACTAGCAGCTAGGGTGTGCTGCTTGGTTGGATTGGCTGGCGCCAGAGCCTCTTTTGCAAACCTTGGAAACCCGTGCAACGGTCCCATCACATGAGGCTCTCTTCTCTTTGAAGTCCTCGTCATCCCTCTGACCGCCAACGAAACAACACCCACAACTTCCACATCTTTCCTCTGCGCACCCAAAGGGCAATACCATCATGCTGCCCTCATCTGTGCGCCGGGTCGTGGTCGCCACGCCGCCGGCCTCGATCCTCTCCAACTTTGCGCCCACGGCTGCCCGCGCAACTGCCGCCTCGGCCATCTCCCTGCCATACAACCCCAGAAACCAGCAAAGGCGGCGGTACTCGTCCTCGAAACCTTCAAGTCCAAATGATTCGCCAAAGGGACTGCCGGCCGGCCAGATGACGGCTTCGCCTGCTCAGTCAAAGTCCGCCGAGAAGCCTGCTGGCGAGAAGCGCAAGCGCAAGGCCAAGGATAACAATGCGACTGGTGTCGAGAAGCTCCCCAGTGTTCCCAGCACACACCATGTGCCGCAGGAAGGTTCGTTGCGCTGATTTGTCTGCTTTTCCTGAATGACCATGTAGCTGATATGACTCTCCTCCCGCAGCTGTCGCATTGTCCTCCTTCTTCTCCCTGCACAGGCCCATGTCCGTGACCCAGGGCTTCCCCAAGACCGTCAGCGACGAGACCTTTGCCCAGATTTTCGCTCCCCGAAGCAAGAACAGCAAATACAACGATGTCATGTCGACGCTTTCCAGGACCGTAGATGACCTCGAACAGCCCATGCACGGTCTCTCCATCGCCCCCCAGCACGATGCTGCAGGCATGGATCACGCTCACGATAACATGCACAAGATTGAAGTCAGGCAAGCGGATGGTTCCGAGGGCAGCATTCACATCCAGCTGAACGCCATGTCTGGACAGTTCCTGCCTTTCCGCCCACCTCCTCTGCCCCAACCCGTATCGAACACAGCTGCCGAGGCCGGAGCTGAAGACGCCGTGGACGCTCAACCTCAGACCCGCGTCTACAAGGCTATTTTTACCCTAGAGGAGACCACCGAGCCCAACGGCGAGGTCCGGATCATGGCTCACAGCCCAACACTGGTCGAGGAGAACACGGCACCACGGTCTTTCCTTGAGCGCATGGCTCTGCGTCAGCTTCGCCGGGAACAGGTCCGTGGACAGGCCAACGAGATGCACGCCATCAGCGTCAAGAGGCAAAGGAAGCTCAAGATGAAGAAGAAGAAGTACAAGAAGTTGATGAAGCGCACTCGTACCGAGCGTCGCAAGCTGGACAGAGTCTAAGGAGTTTTTCCCGCTCCTGTGTATTATCAGAAAGAGGCGTTGCAGATCTTCCCGTCGCCACCCCAATAGCATTTTGATTGAATCATAATACGGTGTACGGAGGGACGAAGGGTTTTCTCAGTCTACTTTGTTTTCTCCATTTTCCTACTTGAGAATCATGGCATGCGCAGCATTCATGCGGTGATTTCTCCTTGAGAGCACGACCTATAGACTTCTACGTACTTCCCAATCTAGCTGTATTTGAAAGCTATACACTCTACCTTATGAAACTATTCCCCAAGTGCTGTTTCTGACCTTATTCACCCAGCGCCTTGACCGACTGGTCAACCATGAGTCCAATTAGAGAGAGAGCAACTTCAGCGGCAGCCAAGACCGTCGTCTCTCCGGGATTGTCATAGACTGGTGCAACCTCAACCACATCTCCACCAATTATGTTGATTCCACTCAGCCCGTCCAAGATTGTGAGCAATTCTCTCGAGGTCCAGCCGCCAGGTTCGGCAGTTCCGGTAGCTGTGAGATAGGTTAGCAAGTGGACTAGTACAGGTTTTTTAATGTAGTTAAGATTTCAGGATGCTGCATTTTATACCCTCGGAGGCGGAAAAAGAAAATGAAAGGAACATACCAGGAGCAAACGCGGGATCGAGCACGTCAATATCGACACTGACATAGACCTTGGTATCTCCGACGCGCTCACGGATCCGCGAAATGATACCGGCAACGCCCATATAATCCAGGTCCCGGGCCGTGATGGACTGGAAGCCACAGCGCAGGTCGTTGCGCATGTCGCCTTTTCGACGGGCGAGAGGGGCGCGGATGCCGGCGTGGAGAGACGTGTTGGTTATGAGACCCTATTAGTGGCCGTGGCACGAGGTTAGAAATCTACCGGTCTTCAACGGACTTGGTGTAACGGCGAGTATAAGTGAGTCATACCTCTTCGTGGGCAATGTGCAGGAATGTTCCGTGGTTCAAGCCGCTGAAGAATATCAACCAGTCAGCTTTCTGATCGAGAACTGGCAGTCAAAGGATTCCTGCGACTTACGCATAATCCGAAATCCCGCCTCCTATTCTTTGGGTTAATTGCCTCTTCTATACAAGTCATGATGATTATATTCAAGTAACTCACCCAAAACCTTTGGGTCCCAGGTATCTGTTTTCCACAAAAGTCAGCCATATTGAGAGTTCACTAATGATGATCCCAAGTTGATTCAACTCACCAATGTGACTGTCAAAATGCACGACAGCCACCTGTCCCCACCTCTCCTTGACGGAGCGAAGGGCCGATAGGGTCGTTGTATGATCGCCGCCGAGAGTGAGGATCCTCGGGACTGTCGACCGAGACACATCTGCAGCCTTGCGGCTTGAAACCACTCTATGCGCCTTGTCCAGTTGCTTGAGCGCATATGTATTATCCAGCCAGGTCAGCGGCGCGTCGCCGCAATCTGTAATGGTGGCCCAGGACTTGAGTGGGTTCTTGCCTATTGAGAAGAGGAGGATCAGCAGTTTAGAAGACAAGAAACTTATTCTTATAGGAATTCCGATAATATCAAGACAATCGGGGTAACACAAACCGGTATATGCACTCCAGGCCATGTCCGGGGCTATCCTCTGACTTCCGATCCGGATGCCAGTAGGTCCGTACCGAGCACCTGGACGTGCCGTAACACCCTGCATAGCACTTCTTAGCATCAAAGTATTTGAATGTTTGAAACCACTCTACATACAGTATCAAACGGAGCACCCAAGATGGCAATATCATAGGGTTTGCCCGCGGCCTCTGCATCCGCGATGCAGTTCAAGTACGGCAAATTGGCATACGTCTTGAGACCGCTAAACTGGCTCCCGCTAATGATATCGACGTCGTCGCCGTATACACCGGCACGCATTGGCCTCTGCAAGTCGTCGAGGGTCGGCGAATTGGGTATCTCCCAGGCCGACGTCCTCGGAGGGGAGCCGAACCCGAGCAGAGCCAGCGAGGCTGGAAGGAGGAGGGGACGATAGAACATGATTTCAACTTGGCTTGTATGTCAGCTTAACTACAGGCGGCCTTGAGAATTTGTGGTAGGAACTATACTTTCTGGCCCGTAACGGTCTTTTTGGGGGAGATTACTGCAGACAAATGATATATCGCCTTTGTCTTACGGCATACTATCTCAATGCATGTTTAAGTACTCATGCCATGGTGCAGGGATCATGGTGACTAGCTCAACGTCATGAACTAGCAAGGGTCGATTATAGCTCACGCGGTGGAGATAATTAGACTTTGGAGGGACGCTGTATAACTTTTATGGATTGATCGAATAGCTATACTCGTGCGAAAAGATATATTCTATAATTGGTTGGATATATCTAATGAGCCTTTTTTTAAATCTTTTTGTAAACAATAAGAGATAATGGGGAGTACAAATCCTTAAATTTAGTTGAAGCCCGTTACAATACCTATAATTGGCAAACCTGCCAATAGGGACTTCTCACTTCTTAAAGATCTATCGCTATCCCCCAATGCTATGATAGCTGCATCATGAAACGTGAATTATGAAATTCTGTTAGTGTTCGTGATCATTCAATCCAGGTAGATCGTTACTTTTTTCTGCCGTGGCTTACTCGTTATTATAAGGCGCTGCAGTGCTTTGAGCTTGAACTATCGAATTGAAGTTCCTTGTTCAACGCCAGCAGTTGAGTCTCAAGGGCAGGGAAAGAAAGGCATTTGGAAAGCAGTCTGCGTCATGACTTGAAAGCGCAGTTTTTTTTTTTTTTTTTGTTTTTTT